CATCTGTAAAACACAGTGGAAGCAGTGTGATGGCATAGACATGCGTGGCTTCCAATGGCACTGGGTCACTATTGTTTATTGATGATGTGACAGAAGACAGAAGACAGAAGCAGCCGGATTAATTCTGATGTGTAGGAATATCTGTTCAGATTGAGCCAAATGTAGTTACACAGCTACATAGTCTGAAAAGAGACGTGTCCATCATGTTAAGATTTCCTCACATTTGTTTTTTGCTGTTCACCCAAAAGAAGGCAAAAAAAAACAGTTCAAAGCAGTTCCAATTTTACTAACTAGGAATGAAAAAATCCCTCTTGCCCCCAGAATGGCAGTCAGATTTATCCTTGAATCAAAAAGCTATTACTCTACAGTTGAAAAATTATATCATTGAATATTATGTTTTTGCAAGTATGCATCTAGTTGCTCTTTAAACATATGCATGGACTCTGATAAAAACCACTTCTTCAGGTGAGAATTCCACATCCTTATTGTTCTTACGGTGAAAAACCCTCCCCTTTGCCTTTGACTAAATCTTCTTTCTTCCAGTCTAAATGCATGACCTCGCGTCCTATGTATAGTACTGTTTGTAAATAGATAAATAAATTTCCACATAATGGTTTGTATTGGCCCCAAATATATTTGTATAATGTTTTTTTAAAAATGTTTTATTTTTGTAGTGCTTAGAGTTACAAAACATGCTTATATCGCCACGACAGCTGATATAAGTCAATGGAATAGCACAAGATAAACAGTAGCATGGCAAGCATTAACAGCACATTTTTTTTTTAGGTCAGGTTAGGTAGAACTGGTTACAAACTTAGTTTCATCCAGGCTAATTATTGTGATGAGTGATCTTGACAGTTTACGCAAAATCAGAAACATTCCTGGACTAAACATGGTTAAAGCCTTGAGGTTGGAGGTGCCTCTAGGGCTAAGTGAGTGTGTTAGCTTCGGAAGGATATCGATGCCTATTGCCCCGTGCCATTTATGTAGCCAGTGAAATTATCAGGGGGGTAGTTGGCATAATAGCCTGGAGCCTGGTGAGGCATTGCTATGTTGCTTGCTTTTGAGTTGCATGTCTATATAAAGGGGTATATGCGTGAGGGTTGCCAGGCAGGCGGGCTTTGCCTCATTAGGTGGGTAGGTGACTAGTTGTCTGTGAGTGGTGTGAGTAATAGGGCATTGCACGTGTATGAAACAAGTGTAATGAGATTGCTAACAACATATAAACGTTCAAAACAATGAGTTCTCTTTAAGGTTCTGCGTTGCCATTGTATCTCTGTTTAGGAGGTTGCTGTGTGGCATGGGTAGCATCCATTGAAACAGAGGTTTTAAGTATGAACCTCTGTGAGTCCCGACATGTGGTGAGTTCATTATCAGCCTATGTCCAGAGCAGGGAGAGATATTGGGGATACTTTGCAGTCCTGCTGGGGGGTTGCGAGGTACAGCGTTGCTGGTTCCAGCAGTCGGCTCGCCAGCCCGTCGTTATTTTAATGGTGCCGGTAAGTGGAGTCCCCCTCTGATACTTTGGGGCTTTCCACGGCATCTAGTGGGTTCGGAGCCATGAGGGCCGCTTGCCAGTGGGTTGTCTCCAAATGGGTCTCTGCTTTATACCGGGTCTCTGAGAAGCTTGCGGTCCACCTTGGGTTGGGATCTTTATGATGTGCGACCTTGCCTGTTTGAGTGCGGGTGGGAAGGGTCTCCTTCTCCAGCGCCATTTTGTAAGTCTCGTCAGGCCGGGGTCAGTGCGGCCGTGGCAGGTGTGTACTAGTTCTCCGCCGGGCTTGTGCGCTGGTTTCTTGGCTTGCCGCTCTCTGCTGGCTAGCTTCACCCAGAAGGCTTGATTATGGCATCTAGCTTGGTCAGGGTTTGGTACCTGTCTGTATGACAGCTGTGGTCGCATGTGGCGTTCGCCATTGTGGAGGCCCGTGTAGCAAAGGGCTGCCTGTGCGGTTCCGTCATCAGTGCTCGTCGTGGTCCTGCTGCCTGAAGGGCTTGGACCGGGTTCACCCCCACCAGTCCTGAGGGGGGGGAGCGTGTATGCGGTGGCTCGATGTCTCCAGTGTAGGGGCGAGAAGAGCGGCCGTCCCCCCCCAGCTCCATCCGCCACGGGCCGCAGCCTGCCGCCTCGGTTACACAATTATGGAATGTGCTCAAGTTTGGTGTCGGGTGATTCACCGGGGGGCTCCCGACATGGGTAACGTACCCCGGTGTCATTGCAGGATTAAAAAATGTGAGCTTTTCCCTTTGGAACAGTTTGTTTAGCGGGAGCTTCTCCTCCATGCGACTGTTCCTCTTGCAGGTCAGGCCCTGCCCCCCATATTTGTATAATGTTATCATATTCCCTCTGAGGCAAAGTTTTTTTTCTAAACTAAAGAGGTTTAAATTTGTAAACCTTTCTTCAAAGCTAAAATGCTCCATTCCTTTTATTAATTTTGTAGCCCACCTCTGCACTTTTTCTAGTGCCATAATATCCTTCTTTAGAACAGTTGCCCAAAATTGCACAGTATATTCAATATGTGGTCTTACCAGTGATTTATAGAGGCAAAATTATATTCTCATACGGAGAATTAATGCCCTTTTTCTTGCATGACAATACCTTACTGGCCTTAGCCACTGCTAATTGATAGTTTGTGGTCTGCAACAATTCCCAAGTCCATCTTGTGTGTTGTGATCCCTAATTCAATTCCATTAAGGGTATAAGTTGCTTGTACATTCTTTACGCCAAAGTGCATAACTTTAAATTTTTCTACATAAAATTTCATCTGTCATTTGAGTGCCCAGTCCCCTATTCTAATTCACTCTGCAGCAAAGTAATATCTTGCTTACATTGTAAGTTTTGTGTCACCTGTAAACACTGAAACATGACTTTCAATGTTTTTTTTTCAAGATCATTTATAAACATGTTAAATAGAAGGGGGCCCAGAACAGAACCAATGTTCTACCCAAGAACAAGAATTTTCATCTAGACAGATTTCTTTGACTTTAAACACTAATCTATTGTGTGGAACTGTATCAAATGCCTTGGAAAAATCAAAATAGATCACATCCACTGCAACACCCTGATCTATACTTCTACTTACGTCTTTGTAGAATGCAATCAAGTTAGTTTGACATGACCTGTGTTTCATAAAAGCATGATGATTTTTGCGGATACCCACGTTCTACTCAAATTCTCCTAATGGTCCAGTTGTAAAGAAAGGTTTGTTTCCCTTCTGTCACAAGGGTCTTCAAACTGCCATAGGCTTGAAAAAAGGTTAGCAGCTTGCAATACTGTACATTGTTCACTACATTTAAAATATATTGCACAATGAGTGTTTTCTCCCTTTTTTTCCCCTTTACAAGTTTGACAAAATACAGAGGAAGTGGGACAGTGTTACCATAGTACACCCAAGCCCATGTCATAACAGCCTGTCCTCATTTGGCTCCATCCAACTTGTGTCCATACTCTCTCCCCCCCAACCCCAATAATTATCACTTTAATATTGCACTATATGTGGGTTTGTATTTTTTAGGCCATACTATCTTTTGAAATTTAGCCTATAGTGCTCAACTATAACTGGGCTGGGTGTATATAACACACAGTTGAGTTTTATGGATTTAAAGAATATAGCTTATAGTCAACTCAAGAATAAAAATACGCTTTCAAATGAATCAATTATTCAGGTTCACATGAAAAATGAAGAGTATCGGTTAAAATTTCATGCTGAATTTTATTTCGCTACATTGGAGATATTCGATGTATCACTAGGGAAAACTAGGGCACCTGCAGGGAAAAAAAAAAAAGTTCTAAAAGGTGGAGCAATCAGTATAGCATGTTTGTTTTGTTTCCATGGTAAAACCTGGAAAACATTGCAACAAGATTTAATGGTAGACCTAAATCACTATGTTCTTTAAGAATGATTATATTGGTTCATTTACTAAACTATGGTTAAGTAAAAATAGCTGTGTAGGATATAAAATAGAGTTGAAAATTAGTTTCCAGCTTGGCTATTTTGGACACAAAAAAAAAAAAGTTATATTTGTTCTTTACCCACAATAGCTGGTTCAGTAAATGACACCCTATATTATTTCAGTAACCAGTAGAATGCTAGGCTGAAGATGTCAGGCATTGTTATCTGAAACAGTGTATTTTATTGTGGAACTTTTATGTACAAGAAAATGGCCTCCCAATATAAAAAAAAAAAAAAAAATACATTTCATGTTGCATTGCATTACAAAGGGGAGGGAGGGAATTCTTAATTTGGACTTTGTACAAAAATAGATTTTTACATATAAAATAAACTGCTTTGCTAGGGGATCATTCCCAATGCAATGGGGTTGCAATGACAATCCCCCAATTACACTCTTTAGCAGTTAAATAATTTTAAAGGAGGAACTTTAGTGTTCCAGGATTATTTAATCTACATATTCTCTCTATATATAACAAATGTGTGGTGAGGTCTGAAAAAAAAAGATGAAATTAAATCCTCTGTAAATGGAATTAAGCATATTTGTGCTCTGGCAATCATTAAATAAAAAAACACAACCTTTACACCTTTCAGGCAGTAGGAGACCTCTGTACAACTTGCCTTAACCATCTTCACCAAGGAAGAGATAATCAATGAAGAGCATAGCTAGCAAGTGCTAGGTGTGTCAAGACTGTGCCAGGGCTGAACTTTATTGTTTAAATGTCAGTTTCTACATTTTTAACATAACTTTAAAATATAATGGAGCATCATAGGAGTAAAAAAAAAAAAAAGTAAAACTGGCAATTTACTATGTTTTATTTAATAATGGTCTTTCCAGAGAAGTGTCAGTTTGGTCCCCAATGATTATAACAGATACACATTAATCAGGCACCAAGTAAATCGCCCACAATAATAAATATCACTGTTTCAGCACTGCCTACCCAAGTGCCTGGAGACCACTCTGACACTAGGAAGAATTCTAATTGGTGAATTATTCAAAACACCTCATTTATACATTATATAAACAGCCAAGAATGGGATAATTTGTTAATTGTAAAATGCAAGAATTACCAAGTGAATGCATTTTAAGTCAATTTGGTCATTGACAGACAACAGTTACACAAATTACTTCACCTGCTACAGGTTGTGTAGTACTGAGGTGTGTATTTACTGTCTACACACATCAACACAGAAACCTTGCATTGCGAACAGATTGAGGCGAAATACCTTCAATTGTTGTAAATTTTCTTAAGAAAGGTTTAGAGACTAGGGTACATACTCCACCAGTTCTAAACACATTAATATTTACATGTATTACATTGTTCCACAAACTATTCAAGGTCTATAGATCATCTGGATTTACATGATGCCCCATTGTTGCAACAGGGGACAATCCCTAAATCCTTGGACATTAGTGGTCTTTGAGTGGTTTGAGAGTCACTGATATTATTTGCCATTGGATATTGTTTTTTTTCCCCCTTAAGACTGGGAATCTAACACTCTCTGATCAATTTCTTCAATACTGCCTGATGCACAGATTTCCTACATGCCTCCTGTGAGTATTTCTTAAATTTTGGACATTTGCTCAGCCACGCTACATGGACCCCACCAGCTGTGTAGCATTCCAGTATAAAAATGCAAGACGAAATGACAAGAATGGCATGTATTGCTAATCACAAAAGGTCAGAGCTGCTGTAACCAATTTTAGAATGAGGGGGGACAAAAAAAAAACACCAACTAGATTATTTTTAAAATATCCATTTATTTTGTTTTAAAGCTAACCTGTAGTGAAAACTTTGTTGTGCCATAAAGTAAATTAAACATGCTCTACTCTTTAAAATAATAGATTAAAAAGCAAAAAAAAAAAACAAACAAATTGTTTTACAATTATTGTTAGGGCTATTCACTAAACTCAGAATATTTGCAAATTATATCACAATGGAAAAAAACTGAGGCAAAAATAGCAGATCTACAAAAAGCCATAGTTACAATCTAGCTATTTTAGCCTCAGGTTTGCCTGCAGATTAAATTGCAAGAAAAAGAAATTGGAGTCTGGTTAACAACTCTTCATGAATACAATTTAATATTATTTTGTCTGGGTTTAACAAAAAAACCCCAAAAAAGTAAAAATGTATATATTTTACAGAGTCATACTTATAATAAACAAAAAATATATATGTATATCACAATACATTTAAAAACTGTGGACATAATATGCACCTAAAATAACAGTAACAATGTCTTGGCAAGCATTACTACAAAATACTTTAAATTTACAAATAAACAGGGCATCAAATCTGAGTCCAAAATACATTTACTATAGCTTTAAAATAGCAATGTACATATTAACAGTCTTTCTGTTTGTTAATACTACAGCTTTAATGTATAATGTACACATTAGTGACTTTATATTTCTGCATTATACTATAGATACATGCCAAGACCAGTCTATTAGGTTTCCAGCCAATTATTTTCTTTTATGAAATCTATAAAAATACCAGTTAAAGAAAATGGATTTGTTAAAATGTAAGACATGTTGCAAAGAAAACATTGTGTTAGGATGAAAAGCATAGCAAAGACACCCTGTGGCTAAATTAAGGGCAGAAAAGCAGCTCAGTAGAATGGCAACGTTGTATGTTTTATTACAACAACAACAAAAAAAAGGAAAAATAAACGTTTAGTCTCTTGCTCCTTGTCTAGAAGTCTAAATAGTGTCCTTAGATTTAAGATGATGTGTAGAAATATTTGGTCTTCACATTGCCCAGCAATTCATCTTCATAGTTGGGCAGACAGCAGAAGAATATTGCACAACCAAACATAATAATTGTACTTCCCCATCCAAAGCCATAGGTCCAGCTGTAGAGATAGTTTTCAAAGTTAGTGGCCACATCATTTGTGTACATGGAAGGGTAGATAACCAGTGCAATCACCTGCAAAATAACTGAAGACATATACAAGTGGTAAATTAATTAAATAATAGCATCCTCGCAAAACAAATTACAAACCAGCGTCATTACAAACCAGCCATTGATCCTCTTAGAATTTAGTTCCAGTTGCAATTATTGGGCTTTGTGCAGATGTTAGAACAAAGTTTCTAATTTAACGGTTAAGCCCAAGTAACATCGTAAACCTTCTGATTTTCAATGACAAAAAAAAAATAAGTCACTAAAATCAATGACTACTTAATATATAAAGAAAAAAAATATATTCAAAGTTTGAAATTCAAAGGTCATTGTGTTTCTAACAACATAGAAATGAGTCAGACACCAGTGTTTCAGAGTATGTAAATGCCCAACTGACATTACGATACCTCCTATACATAACTTTATCACTTGATCAATTACTTCAATGGTGTGGCAGTATGTACTTGTAGGGAATATGGAAGAAGGTTATTGTTACATTTTCTAAGATCTCTCTGCATATGGTCTGAGAGCTGGGGTTTTAGGTTGCCATATACAATGTGGTTAAAATGTAGGACAGTAACTCCATCACCATAAAAAAAACAAACTACCAATGTACACCCGTCAGCCTAATATTTCTCAAAGCCTGTCTAATTTTAGTACAGTTGCATTAGGGCATTTTTATCATCATTTGCAATAGGTCAACACAAGATTATTGACACAATAAGATTAACAGTAATGGATTATATGCCTCTTTAAATTCTGCATATTTAGATAATCATGTTTAGACTTACCAGCCAGAATGAGAAGACCTCCAATTACCCTCAGCAAAGAAATTCGTGGTGAACACAGTGCAACAAAGGAGAGGAGGAAGCAAATTATCAGGATGATAAAACCGATGATCAGAAGTGCAGCTGTTGCCTTGCCCCATGCTGTAAGGGAAGAGCGCTAAATATTAAGATTGGTCTCCAGGAAATAAAAACAATTTGTTTATGAAATAAAAAATAAAAATAAAAAAAAATTAAAAGAAAAAAGGTTTAAAACTGCTCAACATACTTAAAGAAAGCAGATTTTATTTGTATTTTTTTTTTAAATGTTTAACACTACTTTCACTTTCATTATTACAAACGTTTGCATAAACAAAACAAACAAAAAAATCTAAAACGGGTGCTACATTTATGTTAAAGAGAGATCATTTGGATTCACGCCTAACATTTTCCGTTTAGACAAAGCTGCCCCCCAACCCCAACACACATAGTCTAGAGCCATGTAATTGCGTATAACAGCTAACAAGTTTACAGTAAATTAAAAGTTTAGACAGACTCCACCAATAACGATTAAAGAATGCAATTAAAGAATAAAAAGTGACTACAGTATTCAACACAATTCATATCTAAACCCAGACTAAAAATAAGTTTGAAAAAATATGTTTTATATTTTAAATAAAATAAAATTATACAGACATACATTCACTATGCATAAGTGTACATGCCTGCATTGCATTTAAGGGTAGATACCAGAGCAGGTGTGCATGAGAGCATCAAAAGGTATCATTGGACAATAATTTTGCAGAAATGCAGCCGAGGTAAGCTTGTTTTAGTACATACCACTCCGCTGCAAATTCACCCATGTAAACGCTGCATTAACATTTACTGGGGAACAAAACATAGAACTTCCACTTCCAGATAAGTAGCAGTTCATCTTTAAAGATGTAATAGAGAGGGCTAAGAATACTATATAGAGACACTTAAAGATTACAGGATTTTCTTTCAACTACTTTGTAAACAAAGGAAATGGCTAAACTAGATCCATTCAAGAGATATGATTAATTTCATTGCCTGTTTAACCCCCTAAGGACATAGTCAATTATACACGTTCTGATCAAAACAAACAAAACCTGGAATTTGACTATGTCTGTTAAACCGTAATTCACCTCTTTCATATTAAAGGGACACTCCAGTGCCAGGAAGACAAATCATTTTCCTGGCACTGCAGGTCCCCTCTCCCTCCCACCTCCCATCCCCGGCTGCTGAAGGGGTCAGAACCGATGTCCCTCGGCGCTGCTTCTGGGTCCGCCCATGCTCCATCACGTCATCCAGCGGGGGAAACCGATCACGCCTGCCGGCGGGGGAGACCTAATGCGCGTGAGGACGTCCAGCGATGCTATAGCACAGAAAACCTGTGCTAGAATCCCAGAAATGCCCTCTAGTGGCTTTCTAGCAGACAGCCACTAGAGGAGGAGGTAATCCTGCAATGTAATTATTGCAGTTTATGAAAACGGCAATAATTACACTTCAGGGTTAAGGGTAGTGGGAGTTGGCACCCAGACCACTCCAATGGGCATAAGTGGTCTGGGTGCCTGAATTGTCCCTTTAAATGCACCCACACTGCTTATAAATTATCAATTTGTTCAGGGAAAAAAGCAATTTCATTTCACATTAACTTCATATATATAATTTATTATGAATAAAATCTAAAAAAGTGTGAGATTAAGATTTTTTTAAATTTTTTGTTTTGCGTGCCTTTTTTTTTTTTCTTTTTCTTTTTTTTAGCTGTGAACGACATTCACATTTGTATTCAGCGATGTCTTACAAGAACAACTGTACCCCCATAAACAGGTGTTATGGTGTTTTGGAGAGTTACAGGGTCAAATATAGCACGTTTTCTTTTTCAGAATGGTCAGTGAAAGTGCCATTTGTGTATGAAAAATGCAAAAAAACATCAGTTTCACTGACATAGTTGTAATACAATTTACTGTTTTGAACACTTATAATTGTGGTTGATTTCACGGTGGTTTCTCGCAGCAGTACTTTATAATACGACTTTATAATACGATAAGCGCCAATTTCTCACTTTTTTCTCCCATATATATGTAATTATATATAGTTGCAAATATTTGTATTAATAGAATGTCATGCTAAGTGTATTTTGTGTTATCTCACACACACACACCCCAATATCAAAATAGAGTTAGAATGAAATTGAAAAATATAAAATAAATTATATATGTAATGATATAATTATTTATTATTGTAGTTATACATACAGTATATAGATATACAAATCATACACACACACATACACAGACGGCCGGACTGGGGAATAAAATCCAGCGGCCCACTGAGAAGGGGGCGAGGCCAGAGAGGGGTGTGTTTTGTCATTACCAATGACAAGCATGCCCCCTCTCAAAGTGGGCATGTTGGTTTAATGCTCTTCCAGGGCATCCCATGTGCAGAGCCATGGTGAAGAGCTCTCACTTGAGAAAAAGGCCCTGTATTTGTTCTGAGCAGCGCAAGTAAATGTATTAACATGCTTGCGCTGTGTGTGTTTGTGACTTGTCTCTGGTGTCTCCAGAAGCAGGATACCATAGAACAAAAGGGCATTGTGCAGGTGTTTTGAGCCTACTTGTGGGATTGTGTGTGTGTGTGTGTGTGTAGAGTGAGCTAATTGTGGTGTTTTGTGTAAATAGGTCTGTTTTAGTTGTGTTGTAATGTGTGTGGCTAGGTGCTGTAGAGAGTGAAAAAAAGTGTATTTTTTTTTTTTTTTTTTAAATCTAGCTTATAGCCTCCATCCCTCCTTACCTTTGCCTGGGGGAGGGGGGGAACTTTGCTGCCAGCCGTGGTGGTCTGGGGTGGGAAATCCATTGTGGCCATAGTGGTGAGTGGGTTCACAGCTCCTGGAGTTCACCCTCACGAGATCAGAGCATTGCCATGCCAATGCTTCAACCTTGCGAGAGGAACATGGCGGAGCTGTGAGCCAATAGCTCCCGGGTCCTCCGCGCTCTCCCTTCCTCCCGCGCCTGCTGTCCTGTAAAGTGCCTGTGGGCCAATGAGGGAGATCTTTGATCTCCCCACAGGCCCATGAAGGCACACAGCAGGGCTGGCGCTCTGATAGCGCGGGCTCTGTATGGGCCGGCAAGGGATATCTTGGCCCTGGTCGGCTTCGGCCCATGGTCATCACTGCCCACCGGGCATTTGCCCGGTATGCCCGATAGCCAGTATCTTGAGTCCATGAAAATGAATTGCACTGGATGTGTAAAAAGGATGAACAAAAATGTGAAATGTTTTCCCCCTCCCTACTCCCCATTTTACTCACACGTTATGTTGTGTTAGGTATACCTATAGAATGTTAAATGAAAGCCCTGTGCTTTAAAAATAATATATAATATGTAAAGGGGCACTTGAAGAGAAACTCTTAAATTAGAGTGGAACAAACCTATAACCGGGTTAAAGCCCGCAACTGCCCAAGTGAAGATTTTACACTTGAAAGAAAAGAAGAGAGACAGGAAGGGGAGAACTGGAGCCTGTGCAAACCTCCCAGGTGGGGGATAATCCCTGTGGATAACAATTAAACAAGAACAAAATGCAACACTTGGGTACTGAAGATGGAATACTATAAGGGTAAAAAACCACACATATAAGACTTAACTTTTAATAAAAAGAAAGTCCAACCAGGACTTAAAAGGAAAATAGTACTATTGGAAAAAAAAAAAAATGAAATAACACCTTATAAATACAATGGCTATAGTGTTAAACTATACTAGCCCATTAATGAAAGGCTGTAATTGACACCTTAGTGAAATATTTATTAGAGCACACAAATGTGTGAAAAATATTACATTGTAATGGCAAACAACTTAGCAGTGGTATTATCTAGGATGTGTTGCAGATAAGCACACTTCCACTAGTAAAGTGATTTGTAGTCAATATTTAAAGGACCACTATAGTGCCAGGAAAACAAACTAGTTTGGCACTATAGGGTTATTAGGTCTCCCCCACCCTCATGGCCCCCCCTCCCTCTGGGCTGAAGGGGTTAAAGCCACTTAAATTTTCTCAAGCGCCTGGCTCCCTCAGCGCCGGTGACCTCTCCTCCTGCCGACGTTAGCGCCGAATGTGCATGCACGGCAAGAGCTGCAGACGCATTCAAACCACCAATAGGAAAGTATTACTTAATGCTTTCCTATGGACATCAGCGTCTTCTAACTGATTTTCATAGTGAGAATCGCAGAAGCAGCCTCTAGTGGCGGTCAGTGAGGCAGCCTCTAGTGGCTGTATTAACCCTCAGTGTACATATAGCAGTTTCTCTGAAACTGCTATGTTTTCAGCTGCAGGGGTAAAACTAGGGGGACCTGGCACCCAGATCATTTCATTGATCTGAAGAGGTCTGGGTGCCTATAGTGGTTCTTTAAGTCTTCCCTTCATTGAGGAATTCAGATCATGAGGTCAACAGGCAGAGGAGTGGAGATGATATGAAAAATGTGAATAGCAGAGTGTCTCTCAACAAGAAGGAATATACAATAAACAAACATCAGAATCATCCTTATTTTGTTAATAGAATTTGAAAAAAAAAGTCATGGAGAGGTTAGGAAAGGCTAAACATTCATTAGCAGGTGTGTGCATTACTGAAGTTTGCTACATACACAGTATTGAAGTGTTATGGAGACACTTATGTTATGAAAGACACAATAGCAAGTCATGCAATCCATAATAACAAGCAATGGCTGGAAAGCTGTGTACCAGAATGTATTTGGTTGCAGAAGACAAAAGCATTACCACTCAGACTTGAAGCTTAAAATATATTTGTTACATATTGGTATGACATTAACCTATGACTTACCTGTGTAGACTTTTCTTTGTTCAGGTCTATGAAGTATTGCTCAGCATGTTAAAAACATTTGCTTTAAGGGCAAGTTGCTACATAGAAGATGGTGCTCATTTCTTCGCTCAGGACGCCTATTAGGCATACCTTAGGTATGAAGAATCACTGCCGCAAATCTTACAACGTCAGAACTTTCATTCAATGAATAGGCATCCTTTGATTGGATGTTAAGCTCTTGTTACATTTCGTTACTCTGATTTCTTTACTTGCAACAGTAGCGGGTGGCTTGGTGCCAGAGCAGGCTTTTTTAAAGGACCACTCTAGGCACCCAGACCACTTCAGCTTAATGAAGTGGTCTGGGTGCCTGGTCCAGCTAGGGTTAACCCATTTTTTTTTATAAACATAGCAGTTTCAGAGAAACTGCTATGTTTATGAATGGGTTAAGCCTTCCCCCTATTTCCTCTAGTGGCTGTCTCATTGACAGCCACTAGAGGCGCTTGCGTGCTTCTCACTGTGATTTTCACAGTGAGAGCACGCCAGCGTCCATAGGAAAGCATTATGAATGCTTTCCTATGCGACCGGCTGAATGCGCGCGCAGCTCTTGCCGCGCGTGCGCATTCAGCCGACGGGGAGGAGAGCTCTCCGCCCAGCGCTGGAAAAAGGTAAGTTTTAACCCCTTTCCCCTTCCAGAGCCGGGCGGGAGGGGGACCCTGAGGGTGGGGGCACCCTCAGGGCACTATAGTGCCAGGAAAACGAGTATGTTTTCCTGGCACTATAGTGGTCCTTTAAGGGATGCCCACGAAGGCACATTAGACTCTTACTGATATAGGAACTAGTTAAACAGCACCTCCTTCCTCCCTCTTTCTTTGCCTTAACTCTAACTTATTTTTATCAGTGTCTAAATAATAGTATACCTACTTGTTCACCGATAATTTACAGTTATTCATTACCTATCATTGAATACAAGAAGGACTGAATACTTTGTTTTATTCAAATTTTATTCTCAAATGATATTAAAAGTTAAGTTTCAACCTTGACACTAACTTCAATAACTTTCTAAATCAAGACACACTTGCTGGTAGATTTTGTTTCTTATTTTTTCCAAGTTAGAGTAGCTCTTTAATTATTGAAGTAGGCATTTAGCTATGCATGTTGTCCTGCTCGTTAGTGAGATCAGACAGTGCAAGCATAATACCTTTTAGTTAGAATAACCACAAAGCTGTAGAGCTCAAGTTTTTAAGGCCAATTTGGTCTCTTCCTCAGGTGTGTTCCATAAATATACTGACTCATTTATAGCGTCTAGCTTTGTCCAAATAATAATAGTCCCATTGCATTATTTATTTTGCTGATGAAGGCTTTGTTTGGCCAAGTGTTTCATATATTAATCTAATGCCATCATTGACACATGACTTGTTCCTAAAATAATGGGTGGAGAGGTTTCGAAATACTGCTTTGACTATAGGGCTAGGTGCGGTTCTGGCGTCTTTAATTCCATCCCTGGCATGCAGAAACCTGTGCTGCATTGTAATATGAGCGATTAAATATAAATGCAGCGATAAGTGGAGAATTGAGAGCTTCTGGATTAGATACATTTTCTGAGAAGAATACATGTACATTCACACAGCAGTCAGTAAAGAATGCTACAAAAGTTTAAAATCACGTGAACAAGAATGGCTATTTGTTAAAAAGTGTAAAATAATACAAAGAAATGAACACCATCTTTTATGTAGCAACTTGTCTTATAAGCAATTGTTTTTAACATGCTGAGCAATACTTCATAGACATGAACAAAAAAAAAAGTCTACACAGGTAAGTCATAGGTTAATGTTATACCAATATGAAACAAAAATTGATTTTAAGTCTAAGCAACAATATAAACATGTAGGCAGTACACCACACCAGCGTACCTGAGTAACCCTTATAAGGAAAGGAAAGTGCACTACAGTCCTCTGTGGAAATCTTGTATCAAATAAACCAGCAGGAGTAATAGAAACTTGTACCATCTAGTAGTAATCTATCCACACACTCAACGCTTCGTCTCTCACCACGTTAGATTCACGGAGAAACCTAATGCACATGTGCAACGAGCAGATTAGGCCTTTAATATAGTAAAGCATTAATACAATGCTTTCTTATGGGAATTTTAAGAAAAGTGACAAAGTGTGAAATAGCAGGAAGCGCCTCCAGTGGCTGCCTAGCAGACAGCCACTAGAGACAGTATTAGTTTCTCTGCAGGGCTAAGGGGGACAGGGACCTTGCACACAGACCACTTCAATGACATGAAGTGGTCAGGGTGCCTGTAGTATCCCTTTAAAGACGTCTCTTATGACATTGGATGTAATTAGCTTCTCCCCTTGCAGTGCTGCCTGCAGAGGGAAGCCATGAGCATAGCAATTGATTTGTTTTCTTTTCCCCTTTTTATCCTGGCTCAGAACATGCACATGCACTATGCACATGTAGAATGGTTCAATCAGATGCAGTTAGAAGCACTTATTTGGATCATGAGTGGGCAGCTGTGATGATGACAGTTGTGCTGTCCAGTGCGGGGAGCTTTGTCTGTGCTGAATTCCAGACAAGTTTAATTTTTTATTTTTTTTACATCTTAATTGGTGGGAACTAAATAGCAATACACAAAACAATGCATTTAAAAATTATTCGAGTAACCCTTTAACCATTATTTTATATATTTAAAAAATAAAAAACTAGGTAAAATTAACAGGCTTATTCACTAAAGTGAAAATTCAAACTGGATTTCAAATTTAAGGCAAGAGTAGCTGAACTGGTAAAGTTCACTTTAGTAAATAACCTTTGCGATAAAGGCATCCAATGAGTGGCCTGTCAGCAATAACCTAGTAAATCTGGGGATTCCAGAGTCCAAACAGATCCCATGGTGGAGACCTCTGCTGTATTAGTAGAATCCACGATCTGAAATGGTGTCTGGAGCATAATGGGTGAGTTGAAGAAGGAAGAAATGTGTGTAAATTAAGCTGGTCAAGAAGCAAACTGTTTTCAACCTTTTTTTTATTTTTTTTTTTTTATTTTTTTTAAAACACACTACTCTATTTATCATGGCCTATTGGGATATTACCAATACCCCTACCACTCTCACCATCCCTTTATCTTGGCATAGTATTATGGAACAAATAGAATATCAATATAGGATGGAATCTAATCCCTTTTTCGGTAACAGGAACTCGGTCAAATCATGGTTACCCTGGACAAACAGATACACTGTAAGTTAACAAAGATTGTGTTATTTGTGCTCCTGTGTTGAGTTTTTTTTTTTTTTGGGGGGGTCTTTTGTTAATTAACTTTTTTAGTTTGTTTTATTGGAATAGTGATTATGTATGGAATTATAATAACTATATGGCTGAAGAAGCGTTGGAATATTGTTCCTGTACTCAAATGGGACACCTACATGTGGAAGAACTTTATATTAGTCTCGCAACAATATATGATCATTAAACTACATATAAAGTATGGCTGAAAGATATTATTCATACATAGTCGATATTTATTTATCTTATTGAATACTATAATACATGTGGATGTTCTAGATATTTAATGTTATGTAATAGTATTATGTCCTTTTGTATAAAGAAGCTATGTTGATTTTTGTTATAACATGAATAAATAAATAAATAAAAACAACCTGCATAACTATAGTATGAGGTCTGAAACACAACAAACACTTGTCTGTGCTAATTTGCATATGATTTCTCAAGTTTTTTTGCCCAAGTGGGACTTTTTAAGTGAACATAATGTATTTAGGACTACATGTGCAAAAAAAAAAAAAAATTCACATACATTTAAAGGGACACTGTAGTCACCTGAACAACTTTAGCTTAATGAAGCAGTTTTGGTGTATAGAACATGCCCCTGCAGCCTCACTGCTCAATCCTCTGCCATTTAGGAGTTAAATCCCTTTGTTTATGAATCCTAGTCACACCTCCCTGCATGTGACTTGCACAGCCTTCCATAAACACTTCCTGTAAAGAGAGTCCTATTTAGGCTTTCTTTATTGCAAGTTCTGTTTAATTAAGATTTTCTTATCCCCTGCTATGTTAATAGCTTGCTAGACCCTGCAAGAGCCTCCTGTATGTGATTAAAGTTCAATTAAGAGATTGAGATACAATTATTTAAGGTAAATTACATCTGTTTGAAAGTGAAACCAGTTTTTTTTTCATGCAGGCTCTGTCAATCATAGCCAGGGGAGGTGTGGCTAGGGCTGCATAAACAGAAACAAAGTGATTTAACTCCTAAATGACAGTGAATTGAGCAGTGAAATTGCAGGGGAATGATCTATACACTAAAACTGCTTTATTTAGCTAAAGTAATTTAGGAGACTATAGTGTTCCTTTAATTTCATGAAATAATTAAAACAAAAAGGTCCAGTACTTTTCCAGTGGTCAGCATTTCAAATTATTGGGCAACAGAACACAAAAGAGGCAACATTTTGACCCAGGCAGGGGTATATTTCAACTAATATAATAAAAAAATAAAAAAAGGAGGGGTTGAAATATTTGGCTCTTTTGTGTGCTGTTTCCCAATATATTAGAGTGTGGGTCAAAGGTACCGATGTACTGGACCTTTTTGTTATTTGGATATTATGTTGGTGTTAGCAAAACCAAGTATTTCTGCTATTTAGCAAGTCTGTTAATGGCTCCTTTTCTGCTTTATTGATACCATAATTAAAACAGTCGTTCGGCAGATAATTATATTTAAAGGGGAGGGCTATTCATTTGAGAAAGAAGTGGAAAGAAAAAGAAGGTTACATCTATCTTTAAATTAGTAATCATTCACTAAAACTATTGTGATAAAAAAAATGTAAAGGAAATTACAAATTTAGTGGTGATAAAAAAAAAAAAATGAGATCTGCGTATTTACAATTTGGATATTTTGGCCTTAAACATGTTCTCGCCTTGCCTATTTTCACAAGTTTAATGATTAAAAACTCCTTCACATGAAACACAAAAGTACATATCAAAAGCATGCATCTCAATAAAGAGACAAATATCTCCTCCTGAAGGATTTGGGGTTTAACCAAAATATATATATATATCTCCGGTTGCACAGGGCTTGTTTGCTTACTAAACACATTTCGCACAAGACACTGGATCTCAGAAGAATGATTATCTTTCAGGAATGCTAAAAATGTAACAGGCCAGAAACTATGTGAGGGAGTGGACAATACATCAGAACTAATTGACTTAGTTCCTTGGAAACATATGCAATAAATTACACAGCTCAATATGAAATATTTTGAGGTTGTCTAAAAATAGGTAGAAAAACAAACAAACAAAAAACACCCATTTGTATACATCCTATGCAAATATACTTCAAATTTGCCAAGAAAATATACAAGACCCTGTAGCTACACAGTGTACAGACCAAATGTGACTGTCCAGCCAGTTCTTTGAAAGAATTTCGGCAATGTGCCCCAATTGTCTCCCATGTCACATAAAGTAGGCTGTCCATGAAAAGACAAGGATGCTGTGCAAAACTACATGGGAGAGGTAGTTGTAGAATTACTCTGAAAGTACTTTCTGGCCATCACTATAATTAAAAAAAAAAAAACACAACATGTGTTGGACCTCTTGTGATTTACTTTTATTTTTTTGTACACAATGAAAAAAATTATCTGTTCATTAGATCACAGCAGGCAGTCAAATAACTGGAAAAAACCTGGAGGAAGAGATAGACAAACACACATCTCACTTTCATCTCCTGCAGCACATTGTTACAAGGAATAGATATACAAATCCTCTGTCCCTAATAAAACATGCAGCATCCCACAATTCCTGGTGTGCAATATAAAATGTGTGCTGCCACTACACCATGTGGAGATGGTACGACTACAAGCTTTGCAGCCGCTTGATTCTGTATTTGTAATCTTCACTGATACATTAATGCCATTATTATGACTGGCAATTCCAAAGCATCAACAAATTTCACCGGTTAGTGAACTACAGTATTTAGAGAAATTCACTAGGCTAGTGAGCTATAAATAAAATATTTAGGGAAACAAATTAATTAAATGAATGTGCCAGCAATCTTGCTATAAAATTACATCTCCTATAAAAATAAAAAAAATATTAATTATAGATATGCAATTTGTTAGTTTGCTTTAAGTGTACTTAAAAATATATTTTTTAATAAAAGTAACATTTGTTCATATCAGCTCAAATCACTGATCTGGAATTAATCCATTCTCTTTTGCATAGAACTTTTGAAATTAGCACACCTGTGGAGCACTTAAGCATATTTGGACAGATTATAAATTAAAATAATGATGCTATGCATTCCTCCACAAGCAGGCTAGCCAGTTGATAATTTAGTGCCAAGTACCAACACTGCTATTCTGAAATTAGGTACAAGACAGCCATTCTGTTTTAATGTATCAAGGCCTGTCTGTGAAAGTTGTTTGAATACACTTCCCACATGTTGCAGGAAGCACAAGTTAATGTTTGTCTAAGTTCTCCTGCCTTGCCCAATGTTAAACCGATCTTTGACCTATACTTAGAAACTATCAGTAAAGAAAAGGGGAAAAAATATAAATCCGGTTTTTACAATTCACCTAGGCATGGCAAAAAAAAAAAAAAAGAAGGGCATGCAATGACTATATAAAGTTCCCAGAAACCTATGTACCACTGCATGACAGAATTAAGGTGAATGCACTTTAAACATCCTGACACTACTAAAGTGAGACTTAAAAGTGAATTTTAAATTTAAGGCCATGAATCTAACTACAGTATACTGGACTTCTGATTTTTTTTCCAGTTTGGCTATTTTTACCTCAAAATTTAAAGTTCACTTTAAATAAATAACCCCAGAGAATTTCATTATAAATAATTACCAAATGTGTGTATATAATCTAGCTAAACTCTGCTAACATTTGTTTGCAGTTTTACTTTCATATCAAAATAGCCAGCCTCTTCAGCTGGCTACATCCCAAATTCATAACCTGGACAATTCCCAAAATCAGAATTACAGACTGCAATCTAGAGCCCATCCTATTTACATCAGCATCAAGCTAAATGCATATCACTGCACTCTGATCATTTCTTTATCACACCAACATTGGAGTAATCCTCATCATACCACAACTAAGAAAAGAAAAAAAAAAAGTGTAATTATATATATATATATATATATATATATATATATATATATATATATATATATATTTATTTATTTATTACACACACACACACACACTCCTCATCGTACACAATTAGTAAAGGACTAATGTTAATATTAAACTTATAAAATGACAGGGACACTGGCAGCCATGAAAACTCAGCATGGGAAGTAAACCTAGCCACCAGAGCTTACAATCTAAATATTCAATCTAGAAATGTCTAAACGCGAAATTCCTTTTACCAAGTGTGGACTTCCCCCCACCCTGGCTTCGCATTACACAGATGAGTGAGGGTTTAAAAGGTATCACAGAACGCGTAGAATTCCACGGAGTTCTATGAAGATACATAGTTGCCAGCAATAAAGTGGACGTACCGCACACACCCTGCCCCATTGTTCTTACCATAGTCCATTAGAGATTTGCACGAATAGCTGTTACCCCCCGCGGATTCACAATTCTGCCACAAAGAGGCATAAATCCGGCCGCTGTCCGTCTCCACCCATCCGTTGCCTGCCAGGGCTATGATGTCGAAGATCAGGGCGCAGAGCAGTAGTAATGGCAGGATCCATTTGCACCTGGGGTAGGCAATGCCGCACTTAAACATGACGCAGGTCTATGTGGTTTCCTTTCAGAGCAGTGTCCGCACTCAGTGCTAGGCTCGGGATTGTGCACTTCTCCCAGACTAAACTGACTACAAGAAGTCCAGGAGCCGCACCTTGTGTCTGCAGTGACTCACTGGGCTCTGCACAGACCTGTTGTGCGAAGGGAGGAGCCGCGGGGCTGGGATGGGCTCTGTTTGGGCTTTAGCTGCTGTCCCTACAGGGTGATACTTCCCTCCCCTGGTTGGAGCTGGTAAACAAACCCAGGCTCAGGTTGCACCGGGTACGCCCTGTCCCACCCAGCTGCTTTCTCACACTTGCTCACTGTTTCATCTCACAGAATGGGTTCTGTGAGCTCATAGGAAGTTTAAAAGAACACTGTACACAATAGTGTATTCCTAACGCTATAGTCACAGTGTCCCGGCAATTTCTTTTTTTTTTGTGTGCGTATTATATTAAGATAATTTGCCCAATGTAGTATTTTTGCGTATTTTATTCTATTTACAAACACAGTGTTGCATTTACACGGAGTTGCTTACTAAATTACTTTATAACTCCTGCAAAGCTATGTCCTATAATAGTTATGCCATCTAGAGTTAACCCTTTCCTGCCTTAAAGGACCACTATAGTGCCAGGAAAACAAACTTGTTTTGCTGGCACTATAGGGTCTTTAGGTTATCCCCACCCTCAGGGTCCCACTCCCGCTGGGCTGAAGGGATTAAACACTTACCTTTCTCCAGTGTCGGGCTCCTTTCTCCTCCCTCTGCCGACGTCAGCGTCGCATGCGCATTCATACAGTCCATAGGAAAGCATTTCTGAATGCTTTCCTATGGACGTCCAGCGTCTTCTCACTGTGATTTTCACAGTGAGAAGCGCGGAAGCACCTCTAGCGGCTGTCAGTGAGACAGCCACTAGAGGCTGCATTAACCCTAGTGTATGTTTACAGCTGCAGGGTTAACACTAGATGGACCTGGCACCCAGACCCAATTGAGCTGAAGTGGTCTGGGTGCCTATAATGGTCCTTTAAGTTTTGTTTTATACTGTTAACTTTTTCTTGGCCTGGCTTTCAGTACACACATTTACAAAAAAATTGTCAAGATTGCATACCCTTTGCTGTTAAAGGAACAGTCGAAGCAAAATAACCACTACAGTATGCTGTTGTAGTTATGGTATCTGGAGAGCCCTGATGAACAGTATGTTTTCTTACATGGAGTCCAATGGAAACCGCTTCCTGCCTCCACTACTTCTCAGAGACTGAAGTTCATAAGCAGAAGTGTCCATCATATACCAACAAGTGGAGCGCTATATGAAAGATGAGATCATCTTTCATATAGCGCTCCACTTGTTGGTATATAATTTATACCTTGGTTGTAATATCTGTATTTTACTGTGGAAAAAGGGTATTCCACTTTTGTGTTGAGCCGCTTCGTTCACTTAGGCACTTTAGAGTATCACCCACTATCCCTGTCAAGTGATAGTTGCTGTTCCTTTTTTGAGAAGTGTCCATTAGCTCTTTTGTGCTAACCTAGCTCATTTGCTAAGGCGGTCATCAGATCGCTCTCAGCCAATGAGCTATGCCCAGCACTGCTGTGTATTTAATTAGTATGTGTCAGAGAAATAAAGGGGATATAATTATGCCTGGGAGACATTGTACAATGAGACACAAATGAGTTTACATTCCTTTCCTATCAAGTATTTTAGCGTATTTAATTATTGTGGGTCAGAGGTGAAGAGATAAAGGGGATATAGGTACACATGGCAGAGTCTTACACACAGTACAAAGGGATGGACAATGGCACAATGGAGAGATGTTTAGATGGGTGCTGGCACTAAACACACAACTGAGTTTACCTGGCACTCCTATCAAGTATTTTAGAGTATTTAATAGAGGAAGAAATACATTGGATTGTGAGGTTGAGGATATTTTTGAAAAATCTACTAGTCCAAGGACTAAAATGGTAGTCCAATCTACTTTTCCTCACACGCAAAATATTTTCATATTGGGACTAGTGATGTCCCGAACGGTTCGCCACGGACTCATCATTGAGTAAACTTTGACCTCACAGTAAGTAGACACATTCCAGCCAATCCGCAGCAGACCCTCCCTCCCAGACCCTCCCACCTCCTGGACAGCATCCATTTTGAAGCTGCATTCTTAGTGAGCTGTCCAGGAGGTGGGAGGGACTGGGAGCTAGGGTCTGCTGCTGATTGGCTGGAATGTGTCTGATGACTGTGACGTACAGGGTCAAAGTTTACTCAATGATGAGTTCCCGGCGAACCGTTCGGCGAACCGTTCGGGACATCACTAATTGGGACCCCTGCCTGGACATAGACAGAATAACCCTGGAGTTCTCATCTTCTGCCTCACAACTATCTACCATCAACTATCAACCTAAAAAACATATTACAACTGGGGATAGATGTACTAAAGACCCTTTTTAACTGTATTTGATGGGTGCAGTGTGTGTGTTTGTGTGAGATGCACTGTGTATGTGAGGGGTACAGTGTGTGTGTGTGTGTTTGTTTTTTGTGTGGTGCAGTGTGTGAATGTGTTGGGAAGTTTTATCCTACATTGGGTGGGGGGCAGATATGTTTGTATGTATATTTTTTTATTTTTTATTTTTTTAAATTTAATAAATAAACTTTATATCCCTATACCTTTGCCCTGGATGTTTACATTCAAAACCTGGTGGTCTGGTGGTGAGTGACCGCTAGCCTTCAGATCCTCGTGCTAGAGTTCTCTCTCGCAAGACCAGAGTGCTTCCATAGTAACCTCAGCCACACTCCAAGCTTGCAAAAGGAAGAACCTGGAGGAGCTGAAGGTTAGAGCTCCTGGGTCCTCCTCTACCCTCTGCCTCTCTGCCAAAGTGCTGGCACACAGCAGAGCTGGCCCTTGCAAAGCACAGGCCCTCCATGGGCCGACAGGGGAGATCCTCTTATTTCCCCTGTCAGCCTCAGCCCTTGGCCATCACGACCAACTGGCCATTGGCCCACTTTGCCCGTCCGGGTCTGCTTCAAATCACTGATGTAGTCATGGTTCTTAGAGTAACCCTTTAATTACAAGGGTCATAATGAGCCTTTTCTATTCATTTATTTTATATAGTATCTGTAGAAAGAGCTGCAAACTAAATGATGTTTAATAGTTGTATGTCATTTGCTTCTTAATATGTTGTCATAATGTATGCACTTATAATTTATTATAAGTGCTGCCAAGGTTCTTTATTTACTTTTAATAAGTAATTGTTAAGGTATGTGTAGCATAAAAAAGAACTATAACTTCCCATGATGTTGTTTTCATTCACAGTTTATTAGTTTGAAAGGTACATACAGTAGTAAAATGCAGTGTATCTGGAAATGTATAAGTATTGAAAAAGTATCACACCATCATATAAGAAAGGCATATTCACTGAAGATACGACACAGTGGTAAAACAGCATTGTTCTGCACAATAACACACATCCTGCTCTTGCAAAGAAAACAGAGGTAAAACAGCAGACGTTAGCATTGTAAGGCTAAGCCTATATACACATGGGTAATACAATGATAGTACGGCATTTCATAGGTTAAGGCAGACGTATATGCCTGTAAAGTGATGTATTGGTGAGACAGCGCATTGCTGCACAAAGTGTCATAGCTGATTAAAGCGTTACAAAGCCTAATTACGCATTTAGGGTAACAATACTGCCTGAAACACGTACCAGCAGAATTAAACATATATTATATAGTATTTAACCAGGAAAAGTACCCCAACATTAACTTTCAGTCAACGCAGCGTACCTCACCCAGAGGTATGTTGTGAGGAAAAAAAATCTGTAGAATAAATATTCAATAGTGAATAGTTAGAGAACTGTCGATATTGTGCAGCAGACAGGCCCCTCGAGGCATGAATCCACAGGTCATCTCCGCAGAGCCAGCCATCACTGTCTCACCAATAAGCCACAGTGTAGTGGGCACTTAAAGGCCTTGTCAGTTCACCAGAACCCCCTCCAGTAGATCAACCACCTTCTTTACCTCTGCTTGTCTCTCCCACTGCCAGCCTCTCACCCAAGACAGGGGTCGCCCGTCCCTCCAGGTACTGGAGGCCCAGTAGGGCTCAAAGCTATAGGGACTTAAATTTTCCGGGCCCCCCGAAACCTAGAGGCAGAGAGGCTCTCAGCCCAGTGGAAAAAGCAGCGGAAGCCTTAAATTTATTAAATGATTTTGTTTCATAATATATTATTATTTTTGGCATTTATATAATGGCAACTTATTCCGCAGCACTTTACTATGTTATAAAAAAAGGTAACAATAAACAAGTAATTTAACAATAAATAAGACAATTACAAAATGTGACAGGAACAATATGTTGATCTTATAATCTAGAAGAGGTGGTGTATAAAAACACAATAGGAGGGGCATCAGGGGCAGGGGTGCGCGAGCTATTCGGCCGCAAAGGGCGCCATGGAGCAGGGGGCGCCATGTGGCCAACACAGCTTACACATGACCATGTGACCGGAGGGCAAGGGATGCTAAAGCAAGTCCCTGGGTGGAGGATTCATTATTTTCCACCCGGAACTATGAATGTAAACACAACGGGGACGAGGCTTACAGAGCGGTGGGGGTGGAGTTTACTGCGTGGAGGAGGTGGGGCTAAAACAGAAGTGGAGGCGGAGCTTAGAGGTAACTGCTGCACAGAAAGGAGTCCCTGCTTCCACTCCTGTCTGAGAGACTGTCTGACTGTGTGTGTGGAACTGTGCTCTGTGTGTGACCGTATGTGTGACTGTAACTGTGTCTGACTGTCTCCCTGTGTGTGTGTGTGACCGTCTGCCTGTGTGTGTGACTAAAACTGTGTCTAACTGTCTGCATGTGTAACTAACTGTGTGTGACTCTCTGCCTGTGTGTGACTGTAACTATGTGTGTGACAGTAACTATGTTTGGGACTGTAACTGTGTGTGACTGTCTGCCTGTGTGTGTGTTTGTGTGACTGTATGTGTGTGTGACTGTAACTGTGTCTGGCAGCCTGCCTGTGTGTGTGACTAAACTGTGTGTGACTGTCTGCCTGTGTATGACTGCAACTGTGTGTGCCTGTCTGCCTGTGCCTGTGTGCATGACTGCTTGCATGTAACTGTGTGTGTGTGTTTGTGTGACTGTCTGCCTGTAACTGTTCATGTGTGTGTGTGATTGCTGTAACTGAGCATGTATGACTGTCTGCTTGTAGCTGTGTGCGTGACTGTCTGCCTGTACTTGTGTGTGACTGCCTGTAACTCAGTGTCACAGTATTATCTGACACACTTAGTCTGCGCCTCTGTAAAGTAGTGGAGGCAGTCTGGCACCTCTGGCAAAAGTAGCTGTC